ACCTGAGCCGAAGTCAGACGTTCAACCAACTGAGCCACCCAGGCACCCCCTACCCCAACTTTTTCACATGCATGTGTGTTCATACACGAATGTATAGTTCTGGTATTTTCAACATAAATTACATCATTTTTCTACAGATTGTTCATTCAGCCCTTTGCGCTTTTTTTAAGTGTTTATTTTTATTTATTTTGAGTGTGTTCGCATGCACAGGGGTGGGGGAGAGGGGCAGAGAGAGAGGGAGACACAGAATCCAAAGCAGGCTTCACTCAGTGCAGAGTCTGACATGGGGCTTGATCTCACGACTGTGAGATCGTGACCTGAGCCGAAATCAAGAGTCAGACGCTTAACGCCACCCAGGTGCCCCAGCACTTTTTTTTTTTGGTAACAAAATACATTCCTTGGAGCTTTATCCATATCTGAAAAAACAAAATTATTTTATTCTTTCAAAATTACTACATGGAATCCCATGGTAGGAATGTGTCATAATTTACTTAACCATTCCTCTCATGATGGGTATTTAGGTGATTTTGAAAATTTTGTTGTTACAAACAGGGCAGTAATGTACATCCTTAGATATACATCTTTTTTTTTAGGGGGTGGTGGTTTTCACAGTGCTTTCATTTTGTATTTATTTTTTTAAATTGTATTGTAGTTCCAGTATAGTTAACGTATAGTGTTATATTAGACTCAGGTGTACAACATAGTGATTCAACAGTTGTATACATTACTCAGTGCTAATCATGGTAAGTGTATGCCCCTTCACCTATTTTATCCATCCCCTCACCTAACTCCCGTCTAGTAGCCATTAGTTTGTTCTCTATAATTAAGAGTCTGGTTTTTGGTTTGTCTCTGTCTTTCCTTGTTTATTTGTTTTGTTTCTTAAATTACACAAATGAGTGAAATCATGTGGTATTGATCTTTCTCTGGATGAATTATTTCACTTAGCATCATACCCTCTAGATCCATCCATGATGTTGCAAATGGCAAGATTTCATTCCTTTTTATGGCTGAGTAATATACCACTGTATGTATGTATGTATGTATATATGTTTGTATATATATGTGTGTGTGTGTGTGTGTGTATACACACCACATTTTCTTTATTCATTCATCTATCAATGGACATGGGCTGCTTCCATATCTTGGCTATTATAAATAATGCTGCAAGAAACATAGCAGTGCATTTATCTTTTTGAATTCGTGTTTTCATATTATTTGTGTAAATACCCAGTAGTGGAATTACTGGATCAAATGGTAATTCTATTTTTAATTATTTGATGAATCTCCATACTGTCTTCCACAATGGCTGCACCAGTTTGCATTCACCAGTGGTGCATGAGGGTTCCTTTTTCTTCACATCCTTGCCAATATCTGTTGTTTCTTGAGTTTTTTATTTTAGTCATTCTGGAAGGTGTGAGGTGATATCTCATTATGGTTTTGATTTGCATTTCCCTGATGTTAAGTAATGTAGAGCATCTTTTCATGTGTCTGTTGGCCGTCTGTCTTCTTTGGAGAAATGTCATTATGTCTTCTGCCCACTTTTAAATTGGATTTTTTGTTTTTTAGGTCTTGAGTTTTATAAGTTCTTTCTATATTTTGATACTAACCCTTTATCATATATGTCCTGTGCAAATATCTTCTCTCATTCCATAGGTTACCTTTTAGTTTTGTTGATTGTTTCCTTTGCTCTGCAGAAGCTTTTTATTTTGATGTTGTCCCAGTAGTTTATTTTTGCTTTTGTTTCCCTTGCCTCCGGAGACATGTCAAGTAAGAAGTTGCTGCAGCAGAGGTCAAAGATGTTGTTGCCTGTTTTCTCCTCTAGGATTTTGGTGGTTTCTTGTCTCACATTTTGGTCTTTCGTTCATTTTGAGTTTTATTATGGTGTAAGAAAGTGGTCCACTTTCATTCTTTTGCATGTTGCTGTCTAGTTTTCCCAACACCATTTGTTTAAGAGACTTTTTTCCTTCGGATATTCTTTCCTGTTTTGTCGAAGATTAGTTGACCATATAGTTCTGGGTCCATTTCTGGATTTTCTGTTCTGTCCCATTGATATATGTGTCTGTTTTTGTGCCAGTACCATACTGTTTATTACTACATGTTTGTAGTATATCTTGAAATCTGGGATTGTGATACCTCCAGTTTTGTTCTTTTTTCAAGGTATCTTTGGGTCTTTGGTGGTTCCATGCAAATCTTAAGATTATTTGTTCTAGTTCTATGAAAAATGCTGTTGATATTTTGATAGAGATTGCATTAATTCTGTATATTGATTTGGGTAGTATGCACATTTTAACAATGTTTGTTCTTCTAACACATGAGTAAGGAATATCTTCTGATTTGTTTATGTCATCTTTGATGTCTTTCATCAGTGTTTTATAGTTTTCAGAATACAAGTCTTTCACCTCCTTGGTTAAGTTTATTCCTATGTATTTCATTATTTTTGGTGTAATTGTAAATGGTATTGTTTTCTTAATTTCCTTTTCTGCTACTTCATAATTAGTGTTTAGAAATGCAATGGATTTCTGTGTATTGATTTTGTATCCTGTGACTTTACTGAATTCCCTTATCAGTTCTAGTAGTTTTTGGGTGGCATCCTTAGGGCTTTCTATATATAGTATGATTTCATCTGCAAATAGTGAAAGTTTTACTTCTTTCATACCAATTTGGATGTCTCTTAGGTCTTTGTGTTGTTTGACTGCTGTGGCTAGGACTTCTAGTACTATGTTGAATAAATGTGGTGAGAGAGGACATCCTTGTTTTGTTCTTGACCTTAGGAGAAAAGATCTCAGTTTCTCACCACTGAGGATGATGTTAGCTGTGGGTTTTTCATATATGGCTTTTTTTTTTTAATTTTTTTTTCAACGTTTATTTATTTT